TCTTGTCTTGACTGTGCCACACAAGGCAGCAGCCACTTTTCATAATTTTTTTGACAGGTAGAGTTATAGACAGTGAGAGAGAGAAAGAGAGAGAGTTCTTCCTTCCGTTGGTTCATTCCCCAATTGGTTGCTATGGCCGGTGCTGCCCCTATCCGAAGCCAGGAGCCAGGTGCTTCTTCTTGGTCTTCCATGCAGGTGCAGGGGCCCAAGCACTTGGGCCATCCTCCACTGCCCTCCTGGGCCACAGCAGAGAGCTGCCCTGGAAGAGGAGCAACTGGAACTAGAATCCGGTGCCCATATGGGATGCTGGAGCCACAGGAGGAGGATTAACCAAGTGAGCCATGGTGCTGGCCCTTCCTCTCAAAGTTTTAGTACACAAACAAGATCTAATATAGTTTCAGGTATAACAGCAGGTGATTTTCTTTGGAAAAACAAGTACCTGTGCTACATACTTGATCAGAATTGAAACAAGTGTTTCTTGTATCAGCTATGACTAGTAAAGTTGCTAAAACCTTTTATGTACATCCTGCTTCTGTCTTCTCCATGAATATTTTCCTAAAGATCTCTAATCACCCTACTTTAATGTTTCTTATATAATTTTTTAAATATTTAGAGATTAACTTAAAAGGTAGAGAGAGAGTGAGCGCAGGAGCGTGGGAGGGAGAATCAGAGATCTTCCCTTCACTGGTTCACTTTCCAAATGGTCACACAGCCAGGGCTGGTATAGGCCAAAGCCAGGAGCCTGGATCTCTATCTCAGTCTCCCACATAGATTGCAGGGTCCCAAATACTTCCTCTTGCTGTTGCTCAACCAAATTAGTAAGGAACTGAATCAAAAGCAAAGCAGAATGGACTATAACAGACACTCTGATATAGGATGGCAGCATTCACCCACTGAACCACAATGCAGCCCCCAACTTACAGAATTTTTAAGAATTACTAATGGCTTATTTGGAAAAACTTTTCATATATTAGTTTGAAATCTCTGGAATTCAAATACATAAATAGATGCAGATACAGATATACCAATATCAATAAGTAAAAGACAATGAATGAGTGAGTATGTTCTAAAAATAGTTCATATGTCAACATTCATTATTAGCCATTAAACAGTAATAATGTTTTATAAAGTCAGTAATAATGTTTAAAAGTGCAAGTCTTATCAGTGGGTTTGTTCCATTGCTTATAGTAGTAAATATAAATACAGACAGATGGAAAGATAACCTCTATTTTGTAAAATTTTTCTATGTATTTTTAATCTTTTTCTTTGAAAGAAATTACTCTTTCTTTTTTGATATGTATTAAGAATTATTATTATTTGGCAGATAAATTATAAATTGGAATGTATGTTAGCATATATAATTTTGAAACATTAGAAAGCTTGAAACACTCTTAGATATAATAACTATAATTTACAATGCATATTTAGGCATTAATTTAAAATTCACATTTAAATAAAATCTTTTACTTTCTAATTCACTGGTCATGGCAGTCCCCATCTTGGAAGTAAGCATCCCCCATTGCCTCTCAAAGTGGCAATTTGTATTAATTACTTTCACAGAAGCAGAAAGTGGCTGTATATCTTGTACCTCTCTTGTTTTCTGTTGGATGGAGAGGGATGCCTTAGACAGAAGGGGGCTCAATCTGGAAGGAATCAAAGGGGAGGAGCTAACATTTGTTGAGACCTATAATGTTCTGAATCTCGCTTAATGCCGGTAAACCCTGTGAAATGGATGTTACCAACTTTGTGCTAGAGACTCAGTAATTTACCTTGTATCCTTACTTAAAAGCTCTTAACATATTCATTGTGTCCCTGAGATATTAGAGGAAAAATGGTTTATTATTATCACTAATAAACCTGTGAATAGGACTAGCATGAAAAACGAGACAGGAACGCTGGCACTGTGGTACAATGGGTTAAGATACTGCTTGCAATGCTGGCATCTCCCATCACAGCACAGGTTTGAGCCCTGGTGCTCTGCTTCCAGTCCAGCTCCCTGCTAATGCACCTGGGAAGGTAGCAGAACATGGCCTTTGCCACCCACATGGGAGACCTTGATGGAGTTACCAGATCCTTTTATTTTCACCTGGCCCAGCCCTGGCTGTTGCAACTTTTTAGGGAGGGAACCAGCAGATGGAAACTCTCGCTCTCTCTCTCTCTCTCGCTCTCTCTCTCCCTCCCTCTCATCCTTGCTCTACCTTTTAAAAAAATCATTGAAAAACAAACCGAATTAAATAAACATCAAGATTTATAATATATTCCTATGTCTGTTTCTTTCTGAAATCATCAAACTTGATCTGTTGGGAGGTGCAATGAGGCTATAGTAAATCTAAAGTGGTGATAAGCATAAAAGAAATTACAAAATTTCTGCAACAACTACACTGTGATATGAAAACATTGCAGTAGGATCTAATGACTTTCCAAATCAAACTTATGTTTGAATCTCTGCTCCACCGTTTGCTGTCTGTACAATCTGGATCAAATTAGGACCTTTCTTCAATTTGAATTGATTTTTATGGGTGAAATGATGGCAGAGAAAAGATAACCTCGGTTCTTTGTCTCACATGGAAGAAGAATTTTCAAGCGGACAAGACAGAGAGAAAGCATTTCAAAGTATTTAAGAGCAAGATTTATTAGAGTCAGAGACCTCCAGCCTGAGTGGCATAGAGTGGAGCTCCAAGAGAGGCAAAACCTGAAGGGGCTGGTGGTAGTGGGGTTTTTAAGCACCATTTTGGAGGAAACAAACTTGAAAATCAGATTGACAACCAGATTGACAACATTTGGGGAACAGCAGTCAAGACAGAGTTCCAGCAAGTGGCCTCTCAAGGGGGACACAACGCCAGCTTGCAGAAACTGCTTCCATCTGAGGTTTCACGTGCATGACCATCTAGAATTCCACTGTTTCAAGTTGGGGAAAACAAATCCAACAAGCAGATTCAACTCACAGGGTCTCAAACAAAGGACAGAGTCATTACTAGAGGACATAAGAAAGGTACTGTCTAAACTATGAGGAAATTTTCTCATTGAGAGGCAAATAGAAACTGACAGGAGGGTCTTGATATAATCAGGTGGGCTTGAAGGCCTGGGCAGACCTACCTGTCTCTTCACATGCAGTGCTGGAAGAAGCAAACAAGGGAGGTGTGAAACTCCTTAAGGATAGCACCTTGTTGACTCCCATCACCTAGCTGGCCTGGGAGGAGAGCTGGCCTCAATAGAAGGCAGTTGGCATCTTTTGAAGGAAGTTTACAGTTCTGCCTGCAATGTTACTTATCCTACCTGGCCACTTGTATATTATGTTATACGTGTGTACATATTGTATGTCTGCACTGGAAAATTTATTAAAGCTCTGTTTTATTTGGCTTATAGATAAGATTGTTAAATTAGCCAAAGATACTTTTTTTGGTTCACATGACCTAAGTAAATCTCTGCATCAGACGTTTTAAATTTGTTGGTAGAGAGAAACTAAAAATGTTTGAGTCATTGACATGTTTGTGCTTGGGTTTGATGGTCAAACAAGTTACACTGTGTTAGATATTTTAGAGATCTTTCCAAATGCATGTACTCTTGTCTTGGAATTTATAGAAGGCATTGGACTTTTAATAAATGGTTTTGTAAGTTGCTATTTAAGTTAAAATTGCTTGCTAAGTTTTTATTTGCTATTAAGTTATTGACAGCAAGTGATCTGGGAAACTTTACTTGTTCTCTCATTTCTCTATTCTCTTCAAGATGGGAATCTAACTCTATTCTGAAGGACTTTCCAGGATGCAGAGTTTGGTCATTAGACCTTATAAAATGGATGGCTAAAAAATGAATGTTTGAGTCTTACAAATAAATGAATGTCAATAAATATTTTAAAAAGAGGAGTCATTTGAATTGATGTTTAAATACAGTTATTTCCCAATATGTAGAAAAGTAGAGAAATACATTGTAAACTGAAGTAGTGCATAAAAAAAAACTATTAAAAAAAAGAAGTTATCTCTACTGAACTTAAATCTTTACAAACAGGTGTCATTCAGATAAATTAAAATGCTCTCCTTATTCACACAGTCATCAAAAAGAAACCTGAGGTTTAAAGCACTTTTTAAAAATATGAATATATTTTTATTAGGATGCTCACAAGGATGAATGACACATTAGCAGTCTCATGTGATAATGAATCCATGTGACCCATTGTGGTAGGAGACAGAATACAAGCCCTCAGATGTGGTGCCAAGTGTCCACTGAAGATTGCCCTCTTTACTGGAGAGAAAATGCTTCCCTGGATTCTACCAGTTGCACTGTGGCTCCCAGCCAGGTCTCTATGATTTTCCCAGAATCTTTTATTCCAGCATCTTTGCCCTTGCCACCCTCAAATCCTTCAAGACTTTGATCAACTGCCTTGTCTCATTCACCCAGTTGCCCATGGAATCCCATTCAAACCCCAGGCACTGTGGAGGTTGAGTTGAGAACTCAATGTCACATTAAAAGCAAACAGCAGGGATACATTAGTACATAGTGCTTGGACATAAGTCTAACTACCTCAGAGAATGTGTGCTTCCTCCCTAATCAGTACACAGTTCCCAGGAGAGCAAAGGAAACCCCTTGCTCATTTTCACATGTATGCAATGATTATGTAGGCCAGGCAAAAGGGCCAGTGTTCACTCCCATGATACCCTGCACACAGTAGAAAGTCAAAGGATAAAAGTTGGAACCAGGTCTCTGTCTTAGCTCAGTCAAGTTTCTCCTGCTCTTCCTGCCTGCGAATGCTGCCTCTACCTGTTTGGGGCGTTACTTTATTATTCACAAGGGAGGATAAAGAGATGGCAAAAAGAAAGGGTGGAACCTGAGATGGAGAGAAAAACAAAATCAAAATACAAAAATCCAGAGATCAGATTCAATACTACAAAATTCTATAACAGAAAGCAGCTGAAAATACTACACTCTAACATAGACTTTATGATACACAACCTCAGACTTCAGCAGGAGCAGTCAGTGTGGAGGGCGTGGCAGAGGTCACAGGTTTATACTTGGAGTTTTTCAATGGTTGGCTGAAAGGCCTGGATCTGCTGCTTCAGTTGTGAACTCTCTTTGATGGTGACGAAATGGGCATTGACAGGCCCAGAGACCCCATAGGCCCTCCCCAGGGCCTGCTTGGAGTACACAAACCCATAGGGCACATTCTTGTCTTCAGAAAGCAGGCGAAGCTGCAAGATGATTGCCAGGGGATTAGCATCTGCAGCCATCACAATGACCTCAGAAGTGTCTCTGTTGAGGGTCTTGATGGCCTCACTGAACCCTTTCCAAAACTGCTTGTAGTTACACGACTGCTGAACAAGGCCCAGTAGCTTCTTGGTAAAGTGGGCATCTGCAAGGAGATGGGTGTGTGTATTTACATCAGGCTGTTATGGCTGAGGTTCCATGGGCTCACCACTTAAGAAGCAACACTTTCGCCATTATATAGCATCTGTCTGCCTTCCAGGAAACTGCCTGCCTCTTTTCCATGAGTAGAATTTGAAGAACTCACCTCAGCTGTGTTTGGTTGGACACTGCCATCGTTTGCAGAAATGAATGATGTAATATACTGGGGACAATGCAGATGATGTGTTTTTGCTCGCATTGTTATGTTTATTTCTTGTCAGAGTTGGTCATTAGTTGAAGCATTGAATATGGATTTTATTCAGTAACTATTGAAGTAGGGACAGCAGCTGATCTCCATTCTGATGTGCACCAAGATGATTGGGGTTTGTGCTTTTTTTTTTTTAAATTTTTGTTTCAATTGAAAGAGAGAGAGGGAGGAAGAGAGTGAACACATGAATATCTTCTGCTCCACCTCCCAAATACCTTCTTGGCCAGATCAAACCCAGGAACCAGGAACTCGATAAAGATCTCCTCTACAGGAGTCAGGAATGCAACCACTGAGTCCTTACCTGCTCCCTCTCAGGACTGCATTAGCAGAAGCTGACTCAAGATACAGAGGCAGGGCTGAAACCCAGGTATTCCAATATGGGATGCAGACACCCCAACCAGAGTCCTAACCTCTAGGTCAAACACCTGCCACCTCACATGTTTTGTGTGTGTTGTGGTAGCTAAAATTAATCACAATACTCCCTGCCGCACCTTCCCTGGCTCTTCATGGTGACTTGGATCTGATCATCTGATGGAGGATGACCCTACTGGTGAGAATTTAATTACTCTTGATTAGGCTTTTATTAGGTTTTAGTCAATGAATTTTTGCTGACTATCTAGAAATTACAGCTAGTCTTTGAATGACCGGGCCATTACCAGTGTTTGAGACTCTGTCCCTGGTGCTGACTCCATGTGCACTGTGGCAAGAAGTCCCAAGATCAGACTGCCTGACTGTGCTTATCATCACAAATATTCACGCACACCTGGAACCTCTGTTGAAGTGGTTGAGTCTCATTCCTTCCCTTCTCCTGCACTGTTAAAATATGTGCCACATAGCACATATCTAATAAGTGGTCATTGGCTGGAAAAAGGTGAATAATATGAAGGGAAAATTTTAAGGAAAAGATGGCAGAGAGGTCATTGAGAAGACCTTGATTATTTTCTCTGTGTTTTTTCCCTCAGTTCACTGTCTTATGGTTTGTAGAGTAAACCCTGTGGGAGGATTTGGTAATAAGTTTTATTTTTACTTGTTAGATTGCATTTTGCAGATTACTTCAAGGGGCAGGAACCCAATAACAATGTCCTCCTTCCTCCATAGTGCACGGCCTTCCCTCCATTAACAACACTGAAGTCCTCTCTTCCTGGATCTTCCTTCTCCTTGATACAGAAGTCTGTGTAATTCAGATGGAATTCAGAAACCAATTTGGAATCACTAAAGAAATATCAAATATCGGGCAAATCATAACACCCTTGACTCTAACAAACGAGGCATCAAACCAAAGCCTGCAACTATCTCTTTGGAATCTAGAATTACTTATGTAAAATAAATTCCAATGTGTTTAAACATTTTTCTACCAAATTCAGATGCTGAGAGATAACACAGTGGAAAACCCACTTGCTAAAGCTGCTTGTGGAAGGGCAACAGAGGGCAAAGGACTTTCCCCTCACTGACCACATGTTACAAATCATTTAATTTATATATTAAAATTAAAACCAAACAAGTCATCTACTGTGCCACTCCCCAAATTCCACACTGGATGGGACAGGACCAGGTTGAAGGCAGGTGCCCAGAACTCCATCTTGGTCTTCCACATGGATGTCACACACCAGTTCTTGGGGCATCTTTCCACTGTTTTCTCCCCCCCCCACCTTTTTTTTTTTTTGACAGGCATAGTTAGACAGTGAGAGAGAGAGAGAGACAGAGAGAAAGGTCTTCCTTCCATTGGTTCACTTCCAAATGGCCGCTACAGCTGGTGCGCAGCCCTGATCCGAAGCCAGGAGCCAGGTGCTTCCTCCTGGTCTCCCATGCGGGTGCAGGGTCCAAGCACTTGGGCCATCCTCCACTGCCTTCTCGGGCCACAGCAGAGAGCTGAGCTGGAAGAGGAGCAACCGGGACAGAACCGGCACCCCAACCGGGACTAGAACCCGAGGTGCTGGTGCCGCAGGTGGAGGATTAGCCTACTGAGCCATGGTGCCAGCCTTCCACTGCTTTCTCACATGCATTATCAGGGAGTCACATCAGAAATGGAGTAGCTAGAACTCAAATTGGCACTGTACTATGAGATGGCAGTTTCACCTGCTGTACCACAATACTGGCCCCCCACTTCCACTCTTTAGAAGTATAAATTCAACTGAGTAAATAAAAAATGAAAAACCAAAAAGATCTATATAAAATGAAGAATTAATTTGATATGTACTAAGTTGTTGATGTTAACCAATATTCCCTAAATGGTTCCTTGGAATGCTATTTGACCAAATATTCCAAAGAGGTCTCCATGGTTAAATAAAGTTCTAAGATGAATACTTAAAGTTGGACAAGTTATTGTTAAAACAGGACTTCTCTGAGTCTTTACTATGACAATGTGCAATGCTGTTCTCCAAGAGCAGGTTATAGAATCACCCATTCTGAATTATCATTGGTGCAGAAATTTTTTTCCTAGGTCATTTTATATGATGATTATTTTATAAAATCTCATTGAGGTAATGTTGGCTTAGAAGACAAAACAATTATGGAGTCAAATCCTAAGCAGAGAGATGAAAATAACACTGTCCCCAAATATGGAGATGATTCTCTGGAAGAGACAGGAAAAGGCAGCAGTGAAAATGTTTGGATGATAACCTTACGGAGGTTTGAAGGGGTAACTACTCCTGTGGTTGTTTCATTGTTTTCTCTTCATATTCCCTGAACAATCCATACACATTCTGATTATTTGCTTATTATATTTTCTCAGCATGAAAAATCCATTCCAATTTTTCACTCCTACAAAAACTTCTTTTGTAACTTAAGGTCCAAACAAAGGATAAAGATTCCATCAAGCAGAAATTGTGTACCTTATCTGCTTACAGAATCTTTTTATTTTAGAACAGTTTTAGATTTGCAGAAAAGTTGTAAAGATAATACAGAGTTCTATATAACTCACAACCAATTTCTCCTATTATTAATATCTTAAATTAGTAATGGTACATTTATTACAATTAATGAACCAATATCAAAACATTATAGATTATTAATGAATCATTAAAAAATCCATCAGTTCTTCAGATTTCCTCATTTTCTCTACTGAATTTTTTTTCTTTCCCAATACCCCATTTAGGACACCATATTACCTTTGCTTATCATTTCTTTTCATGGTCTTCTGGACATGATGGTTTCTCATATTGTCCTTATTTATGATGACCCAGACATATTTTTCTTTAGTGTTATCAGTAGTTATTATTACTTATTTGAAAGGCAAACAAACAAAAACATATGAGAGAGAGAGCAAAAGAGAGGGAGATTACGACCCTTTATTCATTCCCCAAATATCTACAACAGCTATGGCTTGGCCAAGCCAAAGTCAAGAGCCTGGTATTCTATCCATGTGTCCCACATGAATGGCAGAGACCTGAATACATGAGTCATTACTTGCTGCCTCCCAGGGTGCACATTAATAGTGGGCTGGATCAGAAGCAAAGCCTGGACTCAAACCCAGGCCTCCACTATGTGGTGCAGGTGTCCCAGGCAGCATCTCTGCGCCAAATGCTTTCACCAACCTTGGTATTTTTGAAGAGTACTAGTCAGATATGTTGCAGCATATTACACAATGAGAATTTATCTGATATTTTTCTCATGATTATACTGGGGTTATGGATTTGGGAAAGGATGACTATAGACGTAAAAACTCATTACCATCATATAACATTAAGGACATATGCCATCAAAATAACCTGTCACTATTGATGATAATCTCCTGGTTGACCTAATGTTTGTCATTTTAAACATTTTCCACATTAAGGAATATTGCTTCTTGGCAGAGTCACAACCTATTAAAAGCAAAGATATGATGTTGTTTCCTGCGTGCACTTCATTCGGCACTAATTTCGACCCAGTTTAGGCATGAAGCTTACAATTGGTAAATGAAAGCAAATAGATAAATACCTGAATGCTTGTTATTGATGTATATTCTACATGACTCATAAACCTTGAACAGTCTCTGTTGTAATTAAGTTTTATTATAGAAAAAGAAAACTAGAGACTGCACTTGAAAGATATTCTCCCTGGAGCTGGTGCTGTGGCATAGTAGGCTAAGCCTCCACCTGCAGTGCCAGTATTGTGTATGGGTGCCAGTTCATGTCCCAGTCACTCCTCTTCTGATCCAGCTCTTTGCTAATGGCTTGGGAAGGCAGTGGAAGATGGCCCAAGCGCTTGGGCCCATGCAAGAGCTCCTGGCTCCTGGCTTCAGATCGCCCCAGTTATGGCTATTTCAGCCATTTGGGGAGTGAACCAGAGGATAAAGGACCTTTCTCTGTTTCTCACTCTTCCTCATAAATAAATAAATAAATATTAAAAAAAAAGAAAAACATTCTCCCTAAATGGAACAAGTAGCGATCAATGTGTGTGGACAGAATAGTGTAGCATCGGGTGCTATCCGGACCAACTCTTGACGCAGTTTTCTGTAATAGCAAGAACAGCCACATCAGCCATTTAACATCATTCTAGGAGGTAAAGTGGCTCCTGCTTTGACTTGGGAGATGAAATATTAACTAGGGGGACACTAACATGTTTGGCAAATCCAACAGTCTGGTCAAGATAAAATCTACTTTGGCAAATTGCTCCCACACACTTTGAGATCTCTCCCAAGACTGAATAGATTAAACTGTTCTCAAGAGGCTCCCTTGGTAAAAGAAGCAAAGCAAAAGAAAGTAACAATCTGGGAGAAAATAGAAAGCTTTTGTAAGGAAAGGAGAAAAGGAAATGAAAGAAGAATAGTTATTTTTGGAGTACATAACAGAACAAAGAGAAGGATGAGAAAATGAAAAGGGGGTGTGTTTGCTGGAGTGGAGTGTGCTGAGCTCTGGCGCAGTGAATATAATTTATGTTGATTAGTCAGGCCGAAGATTTGGGAAGAAGTGACAGCGAGGTGCATATCCTTTTTTTTAAATCTTATTTATTTATTTGAGGGGTGGAGTTATAGACAGTGAGAGGGAGAGACAGAGAAAAAGATCTTCCATCCACTGGTTCATTCCCCAAATGGCCACAATGGTCAGAGCTGAGCCAACCTGAAGCCAGGAGCCAGGGGCTTCTGGGTCTCCTACATGGGTACAGGGACCCAAGGACCTGGGCCCAACTTCCACTGCTTTCCCAGGCCATACATAGCAGAGGGCTAGATGAGAAGAGGAGTAGCCTAAACTAGAACTGGTGCCTATATGAGATGCCAGTGCTGCAGGTGGAGGATTAAGCTACTGCACCAAAACGGTGGCCCCAAGGTGCATATCTTAACAAGACTGGAAAGCAGTGATTTGTTCTATCTAATTTGAAGACTGTTATGTTACTCTTTGTTATCAGTCTTACTTGAGTTTTTAAAATGCATTTCATTTAGAAATTTTACACATATCTTCAACTTCCTCGTTCCAATTGTTTACATTTGTTCAGAGAACAAATTCATGGTTGCTGAACTGTTCTTTAAAACCTGACCACTGACAATAACTTTTATAGCTTTCTTAAACCATGGATAAAATAAAGCATAAATCAAAGGGTTCATGGCTGAATTATAATAAGCACACCAAACACAAATCTCATAAATATAGGCTGGGGTTATGAAGCCCATGTAGGCATCAATTAATGAATCAATGCTATATGGTAACCATGAAATCATAAATGCTATCACCGTGATGCCCAGGATTTTAGCTGCTTTTCTCTCTCGTTTGGCCACTCTGGCTTTGTAACTTTCTGAAGATGATTGTGCTTTGCTACCAATGTTTTCAATCTTTTGAGCCTGCTGTCTAGCCACCAGAAAAATATTACCATAGAGAATTATCATCACTAAGGTAGGTACAAAGAAGGACAGAAAATCTATCAACACCCAGTTTTGATTTACAACTGTCTGACAACCTCCTATACAGTTAACAGCACTGGATAATTCCTCCAGTCCATCGTCATAGGCACCTGTGTAGAACACAGCTCCGCTGTACACCAGGGGCAGGATCCAGGAGATGCCAATGCAAATTCCGGACACAGACACAGTGAACTTGGTGGGATAGACCAAAGGGTCAGTGACAGCAATGTACCTGTCGATGGAGATGAAGCACAAGTGGAAGAGAGAAGAGTAGCAAAAAGCCACATCACAGCACGTGTGCAAAGTGCAGAAACTTCTCCCAAAATACCAGCAGCTCTCCACGGACCTGACCATGCTGAAGGGCATCACAGTCGCACCCACCAGGAAGTCAGCACCGGCCAGGGAGGCGATAAGGAAATTGGTGGGAGAGTGCAGCTGCCGGAAGTGGAGGATTGAGATCATCACCAGGAGGTTCCCAAAGATGGCCAGCACAACCCCAAAGCCAAACACTGTGTAGAGGAGCACCCGGGGAGCCGGCGAGTAGGGCATCTTCACGCAGGACCCGTTCACGTTGTAGCAGAGCTGCCCAGCAGCTGGTGGGGACCAGTTGCCGCTCATGCTGCTACTGTTTATGTTTGAAGTTTTGTCCTTTTTGATTCTCAATGTATGATTCTAATTTTCAATACTCCTGGGTGGAAGGTTCCCATAAATCCATCAGGATACCCCAAGAAATTATCAGACTCTATCTGTAGCACAAATCAAAATGTTTTCTGTAACAAAATAAAATCCAACAAATTTTATATTACACAATTGTACTTGGGATATATTTCAACTCACCAATGACTTATTTCCTTTAATTTGATAAATTTTCCTTTTAGTCATCAATATCTTTTTAATCCTATTAGTTTTATGTGTATGCTGTCCATCCTGCATTGCCACCACCCAAAGCATGTTGTGATTCCAACTAAATAAATGTCATCAATGGGAAAAATAATCCCATCATGGAATCCCTATAGTGCAAAGTGTGAACTAGTAAGATTATTTTCAGCAGTGATTATTAAGCAAAATATTCTACCAGACACGTCTCCACTCTAGATTGCATTCTATTGTCATCATTTATTTTAGGCCAAAAGTTTCTCTTTTCTTAGTAAATAAATTGATCCATTTCTGTGTTCCCAATCGTGATTTACCTGCCTCAGTGGTTTTATTTATTACAAAGATATGAGGGCACTCCAAAAGTTCATGGGAATTTTTAAAAAATAAGTTTGGGACAGGTGTTTTGCATAGTGTTTAAAAGGCCACTTGGAATACCTGCATCTCATATCACAGTGCCTGGGTTCAAGTCCTGACTACTCTCCTGATTTCACCTTTCTGATATTAAACACTCTGGGAAGTAGCAGGTGATGGTTCAAGTAGTTGGGTCCCTGCCACCTACGCGGGAGACCCAGATTCAGTTCCTGCTTCACTATGTTCCAGCGGGGGCTGCTGAGGGCATTTAACTGGTAAGCGAGTAGATGAGTGATCTCTTCTTTTTTTTAAGATTTATTTATTTGAAAGAGTTATACCGAGAGAGGAGAGGCACAGAGAGAGAGAGAGAGAGAGAGAGGTCTACCATCCGATGGTTCATTCCCCAATTGGCCACAATGGCCAGAGTTGTGCTGATCTAAAGCCAGGAGCCAGGAGCCAGGAGCTTCTTCTGGGTCCCCCACGCATTGGCAGGTGCCCAAGGACTTGGGCCATCTTCCACTGCTTTCCCAGGCCATAGCAGAGAGCTGGATAGAAAGTGAAACAGCCGGGTCTTGAACTGGCGCCCATATGGGATGCCAGTGCTTCAGGTCAGGGCGTTAACCTGCTGCACCACTGTGTCAGACCCATCTCTCTGTTTCTTTTTTATGTATATTCATGCGTGTGTGTGCATACATACCTTTCAAATAAATAAATACATAAAATTAATTAATTGAAACAAAGATAAGTTTATTTTGGTGTCAAAAACTTTTTGTTAAGATTTATTTTATTTATTTGAAAGGCAGAGTTACATAGAGAGAAAGAGAGAGAGCTAGACGCAAAGAGAGATCCTCCATTTTCTGGTACACTCCCCCAGTGGCCTCAATGGCTGGGGCTAAGCCAAGTCAAAACCAGTGGCCAGGAGCTTCATCCACGTCTCCCACGTGGGTGCAGGGGCCCAAGCACTTGGATCATCTTCTGATGCTTGATGCTTTCCTAGGCACAATAGCAGGGGACTGGATCAAAAGTTGGGCAGCTGGGATGCTGCAGGCGGGGGCTTAACCTGCTGTGCCGCAGTGGGGCCTCCCACCAAAAACTTTTAAAATTCACACAGTTTTTTCATAAAACACATGTTTATGAACTTTTTGTAGACCTTTCATATGTATGGATTTAAAAATTTTTCACCAAAATAAATTTCTTTTACTTCCATTTTTTTCATGAACTTTAAAAATGTACTTCTTTGTTCATCTGAGAATCTGAGCAAACACAAAGAGAGCTTCTGTTGGCTGCTTTGCCTTTTTTTTTTTTTTTTGACAGGCAGAGTGGACAGTGAGAGAGAGAGACAGAGAGAAAGGTCTTCCTTTGCCGTTGGTTCACCCTCCAATGGCCACCGTGGCCAGCGTGCTGCGGCCGGCGCACCACGCTGATCCGATGGCAGGAGCCAGGTACTTATCCTGGTCTCCCATGGGGTGCAGGGCCCAAGCACTTGGGCCATCCTCCACTGCACTCCCGGGCCACAGCAGGGAGCTGGCCTGGAAGAGGGGCAACCAGGACAGAATCCGGCACCCTGACCGGGACTAGAACCCGGTGTGCTGGCGCCGCAAGGCGGAGGATTAGCCTAGTGAGCCGTGGTGCCAGCCGCTTTGCCTTTTTTTAAGATTTATTTTATTTATTTGAAAGACAGAGTTAGAGAGGTAGAGGGAGAGGGAGAGAGAGAGAGAGAGAGAGAGTGAGAGATCTTCCAACCTCTGGTTCACTCCCCCAAATGACTGCAACGGCCAGAACTGAGCTGATCTGAAGCCAGGAACCAAGAGCCTCTTCTGGGTCTCCCACATAGGTGTAGGGGCCCAAGCACTTGGGCCACTTGTTACTGCCTTCCCAGGCCACAGAAGAGAGTTAGATTGAAAGTGGAACAGCTGGGACCTGAATCAGCGCCCATATAGGATGCAGGGCTTTAACCAGCTGTGCCACAGCACTGGCCCCTGGTTTACTCCTGAAATGCCTGCAATAAGCAGGACTGGGCCAGGCTGAAGCCAAGATCTAGGAACTCAGTACAGGTCTCCCACATCAGTGGTAGGAACCCAACTGCTGAGCCATTACCTGCTACTTCCCAAGGTGTGCATTAGTAGGAACCTGGAATTGAGAGTGGATCTGGGACTTGACCTAGGCATTCCTATATGGGATGAGGGTGTCCTCAGTAACATCTTAATTTCTGTTCCAAATGCAGCCCTTTCCATTGACATTTTGTCATCTGGTTCGATAGGTTACAAACTGTGAGAATCAACTTCACTCTTTCTGTCTTGTAATAGACCATTTTTGCATCAGCACTGGCTACCAAATAGCAGAAAATACTAACATAGTGATGGCAACTTGATATTGATGAAAATGTTACAAAAAGCATTAAAAATTTTTCATCTGCTCGTTATTTCTAAGTAGCTGGTAGAAAGACATTATTCCTCCTCTCAAGACACTGTCACTGGAATACATGCACTTTGACTCTCCATCCATGTGACAAATGGACAGTGAGTCCTCTGGCTACACATTTGTTTGTGTGTGGCTCCTCATGATTGCCTTTTCTATGTCCAATGCTTAAGAAAGGTCAGAAAATGAAGTGACAGCAGAAAGCTGGAATCGAGCTAGATTCCCTGGTGACTTGCCCACACCTGGGGGTGCTAGAACAACGCAGAATAAGAGAACATTATTTAGTTTTCCAAGGAAAGAGCACAAGACTCTTCCTAGTGCAAAACTGGCTTTACAATATCTGTGAACTTACCCTTCAAGTTATAAAGAATGATGAGCATTATTATTAATCCACCTGGTTACCCAGTTCCTTGTCAATAGAAGTAATGCTCCTAACCAAATATTCTTTCAGATTTCTTCTAACTTTTCTCAGTGTCCGATTTTGTGAAATGATGTCGACTACTTGAATAGACAAAATCCTGAGCCAAGTTTTTTCAACTTAAGCACTACTGACATTTGAGTTCTGGTAACTCTTTGATATAGGAAGGCATCTGTTCATTGTATGGTATCTGGGTGCATTCCTGCTGTTAGATGCCAATAAAATCAGTTGTGACAACCAAACACATCTCCAGACATGGCCAAATGTCCTCTGGGGACAAACCTCAATCCTCCTTTACCTGCTTTGAGTTCTTCTAGGTAACTGCTGCTCCTCCGCACGCAGAGGAGCCACACCGGACCGGACGCTTGTTGTTCCCTTTTTTACAAGTCCTTTCTATAGTAAAGTAAGAATAAGTAAACAGCAAACTCCCAAAGCAAGAATGAGTAGAGAGAAATGAGAAAGAACGAAGTAACGAACTTCCCCGCGAACTCTCGAACGCACTCTCCAACCAACCCACACCACCATGCCGTCTCTCTCCTCCTATATAGTCCTCTCCACCAATCCGTGCTCTGCTACCCACACGCCGAGCGCGCCGCTCTCCTCCAATCAGGAGCAGCTCCTGCAGCTTGTCAAGTTGGTGAGAGGCAGCTGGGTAGAAGCTGTTTGCTCCTCTCCCAGCACCATATTGTGGGAGAGCAGATGCATAGAATAAGTCTTAATTCCAGTAACAGTATAGTCCGAGTTGCTCCCCACAGGTAACAAAAATTATTATGTGATAATTTTTATCCATTTTGAGTAGAGAAACAACTTTACATCACCCTCCATCATTTTTAGGTTTAGTCATTGATATTTCATTTTTAGGTTTAGTCATTGATTATTTCATTTATTTAAAAGATACTTATTGAATGACAGTAACTGGGTATAAAGTTATGAACAAAACAGATATGATCTCTATCCTTATGGAGCTTGTAATCTTAAGAGAGAAATGATTCTTTTTTAAACAAAAGTTTTACAGGGCCAGCATTGTAGTGCAGCAGGTTAAACCACTGCATGAGACACCAGTATCCTATGTCAGAATGTGGGTTCGAATCCCATCTTCTCTGTTTCTGATCCAGCTTCTTGCTAATGCACCTAGGAAGGTAGTGAATGATGGTCCAAGTGCTTCTGGTTTTGAAAGAAGCGGCTGTGAGCCACCATAAAAGTAGCCTTAATAAAAAAAAAAAATGGGGCTCCTGAGACAAACAGTTCCAGAGACGGCCTTGGGAAATGGGGAGTAAACCGGTTCACAGAGAAAGCAGTTAGCTACTAACCAGAGATACGGGCAACAGAACATCCTGCTATGTAGATAAGCCCCCTCCCCTGTGCTTGTTCAAGCTTAACAAAAACAAAACCCGCGAGGCATGTAGGGCACGTAGCCACCCCTTTCTGCTCTTCAATGACCCCCTCCCCTTATCCAAGCTTCCGTTTCTCCTCCTCCTCGACGACCTCCTCCCCTTGTAGTTGCCCAATAAACTTACACCACCCTATGGTATGTTAATTTTGTGGTTTTGCCCCT